AGTCCAAGCCAGCTTCTTGGGAACCGCGTGTCGCGGAGCGGCATCACACCATAGGCTCGTTTTGGGCTCGAAGGCACAACACAACTTGTGTTGGGCCGGTTGCGGTACATCGTGCTGTCCTAAGATCATTCTTCGTGGAACTGAGGCGGCTTTACACGGCCAACACAAGATCGGTCTACCGGGCCGGTGAACACAGAGCCGGCGCGGCGTTCCTTGGAAGCTTCGTTACGGTAGCGGCTTCTCGTGGAAGCTCTTGTGAGTGGGAGCAGGTCCAGCGGAGAGGATTTCGTGGAGCAGCCACATTCGTCCAAGCCGGTCACTTTGAAGGAGGCATCTGCATGGCTGCCAGGAGTTCCCGAGGTGATGACTGATCGTCAGATAATCAGTACAAGCTTAGCAGAGGGCCCCAGGGCTGGTTCGGATTCGACAACCCGGAGGTCTCACCAGATGACTCCCTCGAGATGGCCGTGGAAAGGCGAGGGCTTATTTACATCAGCGATTTTGACACAAGCACTTTCAAGAGCAATGCGTTTGTAGTTTCTCATTGCAGGCTACGAAAGATTGTGTTGAAGTCCACAGAGGCCGCTCTCGAAGGATCTGCCGACCCTCGGCAGAAGCAGCTCCCCGTAAGAATAAGTGAGACCGCGCGAACTTGTTTGACCAGATACTGGGAGCCAGTAGCGAGGCAACTTTGTGTGGTACTTTCAAGTGTATATGTCACGGGACCTTGAGTTCACCAACAAGCCTGGGCCAGTACCAGGTTACCAGAGTTCGTGTTGATTCCGGAATGTTTCTCGGAACTTTCAGGCCATGATGGAGTCCCTGCTTCGGGAGAGTGTGCGCACTGAGCTGCGCAGAACCGCAGCTGAGGCCAGAGGGTGTGGTGAAGGTTTTCCTTTCCGGTCGGTTTGATGTTCACATCGGGTTGTAGAGGCCGACCTCTCTGTTTGGTTGCGACTTCTCGTTGATTTTGCTTGCTGGAGATCGCTGTCGGCAACAGCTGCGGGTCCGTTGAGTGAGATAGGCTTTTGCTTTGCGAGCGATTGAAGTTGGAGATGAGAGCCACATGATAGGGGAAGTCGCAGGGAGAAGAATCACAGCCGGCTTGGGCATCGAAGGCTATCCCGTCCAGAGGGCCATCCATTGCGCCATCTATCCTCACGCAAGAATCGATGATATCGACGTTTGACAACTCCATTTCTGATGCCGCATGTCTCGACATGGCTGTTCTGGAGCTGTTCGTCGTTGAGAGCGGTGCAAGTGCACTGCAATTGACCCAATTCGGCCCGGAAGTGATCCAAGGCAAAAGTGCCCGAGAGCGGCCCTCGGGATGGCCAGCAGGGCACCATCGCGCTCTCCCCGGATCAGGACTTTCCGGAGAGCACGCTATGAGTTTTTGTGAGGTGTCGATGTGTGGTCGCTTGCTGCTGCTTACTTCGGTCGTAGACCTCGGTCTTCGACTTTGTAACTTCTATCCTTGGCATGCTGAAATCAACCTGAATCACTTCAGCGGGCCATAGCTGGTCTACACCTAGTCCTCTTCCCCAGAAGTGCCAACACTTTCCAAGGGTGTACCGATTATTTGGGGCATGGTTCCCGTGCATGCTTGGCTTCTGTGTTTGCAGTTTTTAGGCGTTACCTAGTCTTCGGTGCCTGCTTCTGGCATTCGATCTGCAGTTCTTTACTTTCCATGTTTGTTTTTGCTTTCTGCTTTCCGCTTCGTGTTCGTCTTGCAGCTCGCTGTTCTGCTGAGTGTTTGCTAGCCTCCTGCAGAGATTGACAGCCTCCGTCAAGTGCACCTGTCGCGCAACTTCAGGCACGCGTACGCCGTCGCTAGATGTGCAACAGCAAAGTCGTGGGAGCTACAAACCCGCTCTCGTTCCATGCTGCAAGGGAAGACGCAAGATTGTCGTGATTCTGAGTATGCGGACGCACGATGCAGCCACTACGACAGGCTCCAGTGAGAGGAGTATCCGAAAGGGGAGGGTTTCCGTTGAATCATTCGCTACATGCAATTGGCCCAAGACAACGAGGCAGATCGAAGGCAAATTTGCCCGTGCAATGTTGCGCGACATCTGCATGCTTTCCAGCCCGGAACGCATGAGGGAGTCAGGTGAGAGTGCCATTCTCATTGCTAGCGTCATGGAAGAGGTCTCCAAGTGCACCGTGCCACCGCGAGAGCCTCACTGAGTGAGACTAACGAAAGAGTGAAAAGAACTGAACCAAGATCTAGTTATTCGAACATCTCCACCCTTACTGAAATAAGGCAGTGGGTGGGATACTCCATTGGATGACTGTCGAGGATACACTGCAGCTTGCCTACCAGGGGGGATAAGCACGGGAGTACAAGGAGACGAGAATAGCGTGTGGCCGTGCATTATGATCAATAACTCTTTGGATGTGCCCTCCTGGCTTCCTGTTCCGGGCTTTCCGAACAGTCCTCCGCAGGAAAGCTTATGGTGTGGCCACTCCAAGGATACGATGCGGAGTGCCTTGTTGGCTGGCCTGCTCTGGGTGGGCACTCACTCTGTGGGATACCTTGTAGAGGTGGTCCGGGCTCATCCGAGGGATAGGATGCTGGGCACTCCGGGAAAGTTCTGTGAGATACTCTCATGATGCTCTAGGGCTATGGGAAAGCTGCGGGGGTTTTCTGGGTGGGAGGGCGAGCGAGAAGCAAGAGAGTGAGAAGAAATTAAGATCTGACATCCCACCAAGGGAGACGAAGCACAGACGAAGCACATCAAAATGAACAAGCCTGTATGAGCCCACCAGAAAGAACGAAATAGATGTCAGGCAAAACGTTTGGCCCGTTTCCAACGTCTTGGCCAGTAGGCTCATTTGCCGCAAGGATCATGTGAACCCGCCGCCGTGGCAAGGTGGTAAGCCTGACGTCGCACGGCCAGCAAGCAGTAGTTCTTGCAGTGGTTCTGGTTCCACCGGACTTGTTCGTTAATACTGCCCACCCGCCTGTTTACTTTCCTGGGCCACAAGTCTCGGTGCGGGCAAGAGCTTTCCACAGCCCATCTCCAGGTCTCCATGTCGGAGCACATGAACAGACTCGCGGGCTCCTGAACAGACGGGAAGCCACGGCTTGAAGTGAATTTACCAGCTTTCTCACGAGCCGGCCGGACAGGCCTCGTTTTGCAAATGCAGCGTTTCAGCTCAGCGAATAGCGAGCTGAAGTAGCGTGGAACTGGCTCAGCGCAGTGCGTCGACGGCTTTGCCGGCCATTCCACCCCAACGTCAAGCTGGGTGCAGGAAGAGATGCACGAAATGCAGACCTGTAGTCCCGACATGCTCTTTTTCTACTCGTTCTGCGGGTCCCTGTGACCATGTCCAGCTCCGCTGAGGCGGCGTCGTGTGCCTAAGGTTCTGACCCTGTGCCTCAGCTTGTGGACACCACGTTTTAAAAAGGCTGCTCATCACACATTCCAGGGTGCACCCACCGTCAGCAATCCTCAAACTCAAACTCAAGAAATTTTGATGGCGCTTCTCAGACCTTGCCTCGGATTGTTGCCTTAACTGCTTTTATTGGCCAGCTGTGTGTAGCTTCGACGATGCTGCCCGAGGTTTTGACCGCAGATGTCAGCTCCTGAAATACAGCGGGCAGAGGACCTGAAGCACACCTATGCTTGCAGTGCTGCAAGTGATGTCGTGTAAAACTGGCAGTGATTTGAGCCTGGCCGGTGATGCTGGCGCAGGATCAATGGACTTGGGGTTACTTCAGGCCCACGTGGCTGCGGTGTGATTGGCACATGAAGCAACGCCGGCATCATCGCCAACTGCATTGAGAGTACTCGTCTTGTGGCAAAGGTGAGTAAGACGGTCGTAGCATGATTTGTTGTTCTCGTTTGAAAGCTTCGAGCCGTCAGACGCTTCGATGCCCCAAGCAGTAGCAAGTGAGGCCACCTGTGCCTCGAAAGGTCTGCCCAGCCAAAGTGCTGATCATTAGTGGAATGTGCGCTTGGAGATGGGCCAGCTGAAGATCGGATGGCTTGCAGCTCCTCGGGCAAGCTTTTCACGCAGGTTGCAAAGCTACAGCCTGTGAAGAAATTTCCGTCATAAGGAAGGATGGCAGCCGGCAGTCAGAGAGAGTGCTTTGCAGCACATCCTAAACATGGAAGCAGCGAGATCTCATAACCTCATCCTTCATCCCGTCCGATTGTGCAGGGCGCGGTCGTCAAGTCATCGCCACTGCGAGAAGTGCTGACATGTGCCTCGGTTTGGTCGTACCAGCAGAGGTAAGCCAGGCTCCACCGACCACTCCGTCCCAAGTTTTTCCCGGCAGGATTCTGATGGTTCTCGATGCCACGAAGGATGATGCTCAGCGACAGTTGCTTACCAAGGAAGCCTCGGTGTGTGTGTGTGTGTGTTTTGCCAGCTGCTTTCCTCATGTGCTTCAGCAGTCGGCAAGGTTTGAAGGCCCCCCAACAACATTCGGAGGAGCTGAACGATGTCGGCATCCGCCTCAACAAAGCGCGGCCCAAGATCTCCGTCACGAAGACGTCCGGAGCCCATCAGTTGCTTGCTGACTCGCCCGACTCCTGCCTGCCCTAGAGGAAGACCGGAGGCTTCAAGTTCAATGCCACCTGCACGCTCACAGAGCCTGGACCACAACAGTGCTCATCGATGCAGTGTTCCATGTTCTTGGCATTTGGAGGGAAGGTGAGCTTGTCAGTGCGGCTCGGCAATGGCATCTGCATTGAGAGGCACAAGGGCAAGGTGTACTCCTGATTCCGAAAACCGAGAGTCTTGTCTTCGCCAAGTTTCACGCCGGGTGAGAGTGGCTATTAAGAACGCTCGCAGCGTACTGGCCGAATCAAGAGCAGCGCCATGGGCAGCACATGCAGATAACTGCTGGGGTAGCACTGTCGAAAGCACAACAACGAGCTACGCTTTGCATGAGGCGGTAGTCCTGACAGCAATCCCGACACTTTGGAGGGAAGTCTGTGACATCTTCTGTTGCACTGGCCCCATTCGCCCACTGTCCCGATACGGCAATGGCGGCACTGTGGCGGCGTCAGCGTTCGGCTTCCGAGGCAGGAGCGGCAGTGTGGGGCGACCAGATGCATTTGGCAAGTCGCAAGTGGATGCTAAGCAGGACTTTCCCTTGAATGTAGTTCACGTACGTGGTTTGATCGAGATTATTACTCCAGGATTTTGCAAGGAGTTGATTAGCGTCAACAGCAGAGCCAGTGCCTGTCACGTAGAACCGGAATCGGTCGCCCGAGTTCTTGTAGGCCACATCTGCAGCATGCGATGAGGTGGTGATTTTGATATTTGTTGCGTCAAGCGCCGCAGCCATACATTCTGCATTCTGAGGAAATGATAGAACAACTGCAGACAAGTGGGAGCCAAAAAAAACTGCAGACAAAACAGCAGATCACGACGTAGGCTGTCGTGATTTCTCAGCAGCTTCAATGGGTGTGAATCCGTAAGAGCAGAGCTCTTGCAGCTTTGGCAGTGACAACAGCAGAAACACTGTCTGTGCGAGATCCCGCTGACTAATTATAGGCAATACTAGCGGCACGGCAAAACCTGTGGACAGCAACAAAGCGCAACAGCTTGTGCTCCTGAGTGTTCCGACATCTCGTAGGTTGCTTTGCGCCATGGTGAGAGGGCGAGAAGTTCGCGACATCAATGTCGCCCACCTTGAGCCGATGAAGCTGGAATGGACGCCCAAGACGGTCCCTTCTTTTTCTGTGAGTGCTCCACGGCCTCCAACACCTGATTTTCTGAAGAGCATATGGTTTGAGATGCCCGGTCAGCAAGAGGCACAACCAAGGCAACCAAAGCAGCAGGAGCAGCAACCAATGCAGCGGGAGCAACAACCGATGCAGCAAGAGCCATCACCGCGGCAGCAGGAGCTGCAACCAAAACAGCGCGAGCCACAACAGATGCAGCAGCAGCCGCAGCCAAGGCAGCGGGAGCCGCAACCAAGGCAGCCGGAGCCTCAACCGATGCAGCAGCAGCCGCAACCAAGGCAGCGGGAGCCATCACCGAGGCATCAGGAGCCGCAGCCAAGACAGCAGGAGCCGCAACCAAGGCAGCGGGAGCCACAACCGATGCAGCAGGAGGCACAACCAAGGCAACAGGAGCCATCACCGAGGCAGCAGGAGCCACAATCAAGACAGCGGGAGCCACAACCGATGCAGCCGGAGCCACAACCGATGCAGCAGGAGCCATCAACGAGGCAGCAGGAGCCGCAACCAAGACAGCGGGAGCCACAACCAAGGCAGTGGGAGCCACAACCGATGCAGCAGGAGCCACAACCGATGCGGCAGCAGCCGCAACCGAGGCAGCGGGAGCCGCAACCAAGGCAGCAGGAGCCATCACCGAGGCAGCACGAGCCGCAACCGAGGCAGCGGGAGACACAAGCGATGCAGCAGGAGGCACAACCAAGGCAACAGGAGCCATCAACGAGGCAGCAGGAGCCGCAACCAAGACAGCGGGAGCCACAACCAAGGCAGTGGGAGCCACAACCGATGCAGCAGGAGCCACAACAGATGCGGCAGCAGCCGCAACCAAGGCAGCGGGAGCCGCAACCAAGGCAGCAGGAGCCATCACCGAGGCAGCACGAGCCGCAACCGAGGCAGTGGGAGCCACAACCGATGCAGCAGGAGCCAGAACCGATGCAGCAGGAGCCACAAGCAAGGCAGCAGGAGCCACAAGCAAGGCAGCAGCAGCCGCAACCAAGGCAGCAGGAGCCGCAACCAAGGCAGCAGGAGCCACAACCGAGGCGGCAGGAGCCACTACCAGAGCGGAAAGAGAATGCCGCCTCAGCAAGCCAAGCAAATTGGCAAGAGGAGCGGGAGCAGCGACGGAGGCAGGAGGCTCAGAGAGCAAAGGAAGAGACCAGGAGGCAGAGATTGATCGCGGAGGTGACAAGGATCTCACGAATCGACGCCTCGAACTTCATCCGATTGCTCGAGTTGAATACGCACTACAGCCCGAAAGAGCTGGAGCAGCAAAAGCGAGCTCTGGTGCTGTTGTTGCATCCCGACAAAGCCTCCAACCTTGCGCAGGATGCAGCTTTGGAGGCGCAGGCTCGGTGCGCCTACGATGCCGTGTGCAACGCGTACGAGGCGGCCAAGCAACAGCTATTGCGGCACAGCCCGGCATCGAACGGTGCCCATGCCGGCCCGCCTCGCACGCACCCGCCTCCATCGCAGAGCTTCAGGTACCGCTGCGCGCACTTGGGATGTTCTTACTTCGTCACCATTGGAGAATTCGGGGGGTTCTGTTGCAAGAAATGCCATGCAGCCTTCCTCTGTGGAAACCCGAGCCAGCACGGTACCAGATGCCACCGACGCATCGCTGAGAACAGCGTCCCCAGAGCAGACCCTGTCGCTCCGGCGCATCCGTTGGTTTGATTTTCGCGCACACCTCTGTTTTCTGACGATGCTCCTCCCTTATCGTGTTCTGGATGTGAAGGACTACACACGTGGCTGTCGGTGCATGAAACTTGAGCTGGCGGCAACATTCACGGTCGATGAAACAATGCTTGCAGCACAGTCTTGGCGGCAGCCACCGAGATGTCAGCACGTGCTTTCCGCTGGAAAAGGTTCTGTATGTGACAGGCTGAAGAGATTTTGGGACGAAGACCCTTGCACCGGAATGTAAAACCCGATACATGCTAGCTGGTGCCAGCCATTCGCCGCAGACGGGCCCGAACCGGCAGAAGCAGGGTAATCGGAGATCAGAGGCGCGATAGGTCCAGGCAGAAGGGGAACGTGTCTTTAGCCAGCGCTTCGTCGTTTGACATGCAGGACCCTGAGGACCCTGTACAGACTCAGAGAGCCATGCCATGAGCGACAGCGACGGCGGTACGGATGGCAGCGAAGAGAAGGAGGGGACGAACGAGAGCTGAGACAGCTGAAATAGGGTTAGAGATGGTTTCTTGATCCACGGACAATTGCTGTGCCGGTAGTTAGCAGTCTGATTTTTTTCCGTTGCCGCATGTTTCTGCAGGTGAACTTGCTTAAGCCAAAGCAGCTTGTGCAGCACCAGTTCTTGGCGACAAAGCAGTGCCCAGACCTCAGTGCAGAGTTGGTGATCCGCCATGCCTTTTGCCACGGTAGCTTTTCAACGCAAGATGACGGTTTCGCTGGTGTGGTCCGAGGCTTCGGAGGGACGGGCAGGGTGCTGCCAGAGACTTGGCTGCATAATCCGTGGGCGCAGCGGCAGCATCCCGAGCTTGAAAGTCATAGCCAACTCAAATCCGAAACGAACCTTAGCCCTTCAGCTCATGTACGGCTCAAGCTAGAGTGCAGCCATAGTTCTGCGAAGCCTTCGTCAACCTGTCCGTCATGACCTTCGACGGCATCGGCCGAATCAAAAGTATCAAAAGTCTGACCCAGAGTCCTGCAGAGACGGACAACAATCAAAATCACCTACTCGAAACTCTGGAAGGCTTGAGAAGCATCCGCTACCGGAGTTTGGCAAGGCCTCCTTGGCTAGATGCCGATGGCAATGTTATCTGGTCTCCGCTCAGGATCCGAGTTGCCAAATTCGTTCTCAGCCAGTCTTTCGAGACCGTTATGGGCATCATCATCGTCGGCAACATTTGCCTCATCGTGTTCGAGGCGAACCAAGATGCCCGCTGCATACCCGAGTATGTCGGCAGGAGCAGCGAGTGTCCTTACGGCACTGATTCAATCGAGTGGTTGTTCTACACCAACCTCACACTGCTTCTTCTTTACTCAGTGGAGTGCTGTATTCGTTGGTATGTCGAGCGGACGGGGTTCTTCTGCAACAAGTGGAACATGATTGACTTGGTTACAGTACTGCTGGGATGGGTGAGCATGCTGCTGGCCTCTGTGGTCAATCTCAGTATTCTTCGACTCAGCCGGCTGATCCGTGTGCTTCGGGCCATCCGAGTCTTCATCTCCATACCGGAGTTCTACTTGCTTGTGACGGGCCTCTACTCATCCATCAAGGCCATCTTCTTCGGAGCCATGATGCTGCTCTTCGTCATCATCTTCTGGGCCATCGTTGCTGTGGAGATCCTGCATCCTGTCATGGCGCGCATGGATTGGCAACGCATGAATTGTCCGGACTGCATGTATCGCTTCTCAGATGTGTTCAGTGCCGGGGTGACGTTGTTTCAGCAGATCGTGGCTGGCGACTCTTGGGGCGAGCTGTCCTTGCCGCTCATTGCGGAGAACCCCTGGATATCCGTGATGCTCTTTGCTATCATGATGACCATCTCACTAGGCGTCATGAACTTGATCCTAGCGGTCATCGTAGAGAGAGCTACCGAAGCCAGAGAAAATGACCAGGAGCAACGGATCAAGAGAAAGGAGGAAGAGCGCGCCAAAAACATGGTCGAGTTGGCTGTTCTCTGCGCCAACTTGGATAAGGACGAGAGTGGCACCGTGTCGCTGGAAGAGATGCGGGAGGGCTATGACAACGACAAGAACTTCAAGATGCTGATGGACCAGATGGACATCAAGAGGGATGAGATGGAAATCATATTTCACGTGTTGGACTCGGATAATAGTGGAAACCTTTCTTATCTCGAATTCTGCAAGAACCTCGGAAGCTTTTTCAAGCGCGATCCCATCATCATGCATTCCTTGGTCCAGTGCTCTGTTCTGGATGTGAAGAAGCTGATCCGAAAGGAAGTTGTTTCGGTGATGAAGGAACAGCACGCCGAGATGATGCGGGAGCAGCGGAAGCTTCTTGCAGCCTTCGGCCTTTTGCCGGGTTCAGAGCCCAGGGACGTTCCGGTGCCTTCACCGAAGCTGCCCGAAATCGCGCTTACGAGCGATGCTCCTCTGGAGACGATGGAGAGGATACAAGCTGAGCTGGAACCGTTGATGGCGAAGATCGAGAGAATCGCCGAACTGCTGGACCCGCCACCTGCGGAGCAAGGCAGACCAGAGGATCGACCAGTGCTCAGCTTGGAAGCCCCGGTGCGAGAAGATCAAGGCAACGGAGTCAGGGAAGGCGACATCAGCACGGCTCCATGGAGGAGATCAGATCCGGAGGTCGAGGTGCAGTATGCTGTGATGTGTGACAACTTCCAGCGACGTGC